TTTTATTGTTATGAACTACTGTTAAAATGTGAATTCTCTGGTTTATGATCACTTCCACTTGCTTCTGTGTTATTATTCTCTTTTGTATTATTAATAATTTGATTAGGGGTTTGAACAGCTTCCATATCACTTGTAACGGAGCTCTTTTTTCTCTGTCTCCTCCTCTCTAGGACGTCAGAAGCACGTTGAGCAGGTACATGGCTTCGTCTCACTCTCAGGGACAAGTTACTGTGCGGGGGAGAGTCTTGAGCCCCATGCGAGGCCCACATCTCCTCAGGGCACCATGGCCAACTCTGCGGGGCAGGGTCACCCCTCAGATCCAAATCTGCCCTCTGCTGACTTTACTCCTGGGATTGATGCTCTTTATTCGAGACGCTGAGATGATGAAGCATGGGGGCAGGTTAATAGACCAGAATAGATCTATTAAATCTCTTGTGTCCTGTGGAACGGCAATACGGACCCTTCCAGAGCAGCAGTAGTCAAATATGTCCAGCTTGTGTCTGTTTGGCGCCCTGTGTGAGGTGATTTGGGGTTAGTGGTCTCCATCCATTTCTGACTGGGCAGGTGTGCACACTAAAAAGCTTAGCGGAGTCAATGCAGCTTGTTGGCCCATCTGCCTGCTCCACTTCCCCTCGATGTCGTCTCTCGCCCGGTCATGCTGGAAACAAACTGGGCCGCTGTGGGTGAAGCTTGTGCTGCCATTGCCTGAGCGGTACCTGCTCTGAGGCCAGGATACATAGAACAATCCAGCCTCCAGGCCCCGCAGTCCAGAAGCTTTCACTGGCATGAAATTCATCTGAAATGAGGATAAAATCGTGATTTACAATCAATTAATTAGAGAATTCTGTTTCTTTCCAGGTGCGAGAAGGGGAAGTTCCAGCAGCCAGGGGTGGTTTCTCCTGATCTAGCAAAGAGACTTGGTGATTTTACCCAGAAAAACATTGTACTAAAGGAGACTCTGAAGAAATGCCAAGGTATTGAGCAGGGATTGAAAAAGGAAAATGGAGTCTGATCTCTGTGAATGTTGGAGGAAACGGCCCTCCAATTAGCTGCAAATGTAAAACCCAATTTAAGAACATGGAAGAAATATAGACAAAGTTTTGAATTAGCTAAGCAAATTTTTCCACTACACAAGAGATTTATGGAAAAACAAGCACAGTCCGAATGTGATTCATTGTCACCTTGTTTGCCCTAATTCTTGAGGACTGCAAAGAACTTGGCTGAGATAAATTCTGTGCTAACGCAAAGGGCTCCATCTTCTTGTCCTGAGTCTGTTTCATTCCAGTCTGATCTGTCTAAGAATTTTTTCTTGTAGAAAGGAGAGAAACACTAAATGCCACTTAAGCCATGTTTATAACCATGTTATTAGTGCAGAAAGGGGTCCATAAGCCTGATACTGGCCCATCTCCATAGGCAAATTTTACACTACATTTTTACACTTTGTTTCTTTCTCTGGGTCTCCCTGCCTTTCCCCCCCTGTTCATGGCCCAGAACTAAAGCACAGTTATTCTGATTATTTGTAGAAATCCTGCATGAAACATAATTTTGTACATGAAATCTCTTTCTCTCCCTCTCCTCCCTAGAAACTCTGATGTTTGAACTGCAGACAGCAAGTAAGTGGATCTCTGGCAAAAGGGGGTAGGGGAATGGGTGGGGTTTAGATGGATTGAGAGAAAAGGACAATTTGTGTTTGTGGCACTGGATTCACTTGAGGAAGAATCTTCTGAGATTGAACAAAACAGAGGCCCCCATCCATAGAGAGTGAGCATTGCAGGGGAGGGGGCTGGGCACTCCAATATATTATCAACCTCTTAATTATTGTGCAATGTACTGACTGAGTGAGGGCTCTGACTCCT